CGTAGTTAAGCAGTTTTTTAAAGTTTGACATAATTTTATTGATTTTTTTTTTACATTTTTCTATTTTACATTTTTTACGTCAGTTGTATTATTTTAGTAATTACAATTTATTGTACTTACCATTAATTTGATTCAATACAGATTCAACTTCATCCGTAAAAAACACGAATTTCAAACGAATGAATAAAGATCATTAGTATGAAAAGCAAAATGATTATTATAAGTTACCTTACGAGTAATAATCGTATAATATCCATTAAATAATGAACTAGTACCAAGTTTAAAATTGACACAAAATTCTTTTACTTTTTTATCGTCTCGAGGAAAGGAAAAATTTCCATATATATGTATATTCATAATCTATATGTAATCGAAAGCTTTGCGTGATATAACGGTGAGAGTAGTGCACTATTATATTATGTCTGATGGAGAATTATGTATAAAATGTAGGTGAAAATGATAACATTATGTGGTGGTTTTATTATTATTCATGTACATTACAAGAATAAAATCTTCACACGTTAATAAACATGGTAATAAATTATTTCTTTGTTCAGAAGCAAATGCAAATGAGATTTCTCAGGTTTTACTATGCATTAGAATTGCCAAATGCAATATTTATAGCAAGTACCTTTGAATACTTAATATCATGTTAAATTATTATTTTAATACAAATGAAAAACAATTTTAAAAGCTTGTATTTTAATTCAACTGCACTAGACCAAAATAAAAAAAATTGAGGCAATCACCAATCAACATTAGTCAAATGTTAAGTATAAAAATGTACAAAATTACATAAATCCATTATGTTTCAAATAAAATTAAACATATTTTTATCATTAAATAATTAATAAGGGTGTTGATCAAGATTATTAAATAGATATATAAAAATATTTATATTATATTATTATATATTACAAATTTTATGTGAATAATAGAGACTTGGAAAATTAAGGTTTAAGATTAATTATAGTTAATTTAATTAACATGATTTATATTTTTATATTAAGCTCATTTAATTTATTAAAAATTTTAAGTTTGGCATTTATATCTTGTAATACATAATTATTAATCTGCAGAAACCAGAAATAAGCGATTTATCTCAATTTTATATATATGAAGGCTGAACAAAAAAAATCAAGAACAACAGGTTGTTAATGTGTTAAAAATGTCTAAAATCCATAAATACTTCCTCATTATAATATATTCTAATCGATTAGATTATTTACTATCATTTTATGAATAGAACCTTGTGATACCTTGTAAATATGAACAAGGAATAAATTGATACAATTGCAGAGTGCAAAGTTAAGTTTTGATAATAAATAATATCGTTTTCTAGTAAATGCGTTTTTTACATTTTTTTTAGAAAAAAATCGAGGTGCTCAAGTTTTCACAGGATATTCCTTGTGACCTTAGTAATCTGCTATAAAAATATTTCGTCTGTAGTTCAAATACTTTAAGAGAAATACTCATTTGAAAAATGTGAATATATGAAAATGGTTTAGATTATTTAATTGTTAAAAAGAGCACTGTCAGAATGTAAAGATTTTGCAAAACGTTTTATAAGTTTTATTCAATTTATGCAAAGAGCTATTAAAAACAATAAATTTATTTGCATTTTAAATTTGAAACGAAAGCAATGTTTTTGTTGTTTATGTAAAAAATTGAAAAAAAAATTCAAGAGTTGAGAGAATTGTTTAAGTATTTTTTATAATTTCGAAAGAAGGTGATAACAATATAATTAATCACATAATAACAAATAAGATATTACAATTTCATACAAATTATGACATAATAAAAAATAAATTTGTCTATTACATATTTTACTTGCAATTAAAATGCCTGAGGCTACCGAATCGTCTTCTTTATTTATTCGAATTACGACAATATTTCATATTAGAATTTCTCTTGCGTAAATAATTACTTTCGTAAACCAATACAATCATTTCCATTCATATTTATTACGATGAATACATTATTAAAGTTGAACACATCATAATTATGAAGCATCAGAAGCAAAAAATTACAAAATGTGTCAACGATTATAAATGAGAGGTCATATTACTTAATATAATATAAAAACAAACATTGACTTCATTTAGATTGAATTGAGTTCTATTTTAATCTAGCAAACCGAATTCATTAATATTAATGTAATTTGAAGTTTATAAATATGGCGTTGATAATAAATATTAATATATAAAAAGGAGAAAATTATGTACATGTCAAACCAGGAAAAACTACAAAAAAAATTATTTATGTAAAATTTATTGAACACTAAAATTGTGTAAAAGAATAATATACTAATATATTAATAAAAGAGGAATTAAAGGAGCACATATTACCCTAGTATATTGTATGCATTTAATTGCAGTGCATTATGAAAACTGATCAAGTTACGCAGCACGTGAGGTAGAGTGAGTAGAAGCGGGGTTTAAGAAATCAAAAAGGATGAAAAATAGAGAAGAAAAATAACGAACGAAAGATTCTTAACACTGTAAATAATTTACAACAGTCATAAGGATGACAGTTACAAAGTCATTATAAAGATGAGAGGAATTACGCTTGTTGGCACAAGAAGTATTAAGGATATATTAAAGATATATATATATATATATATATATATATATGTATATATATAATTGTTGTATATATATAATTGTTCCAGTATTTTTTTTTCATTTAAACAAACTATTCTAACAAAAGAATAACTTGCTGGAAACGTGCCTATGAATAACCATCTTTATCGACTCCGAAGAAGCTTTCTCACGCGTAATCCAATTAGTCGCGACACAAATACAAATCAAAAGCATGATTTCCATAACTGTATGTTATTCTGCAACAAAGTCGCTTTACAAATTAGACAATTGCCTAGGAGTTTATCAGTACGAGTTTTGCATTAACGATTTCATTGTGACATAATGTAATATAATTTGCTAATACATCACATGCCTCTTAGAAGAGCTGGGTCAAGCATACTGAAATCGTTTTGCATAATTGTAATAGGTACTTAACTGACAATGAGTGCAGTGTCACAAATTTTGAACATTTTCTGATAGATAATGATGATTCATATTTAAGATATCAATCTACAATTGCTCAATTTCTGTATTACTTCAGTGATTTAAATTATTATTTTTGATTACGTTATAATCTGTCTATGTACACTTTACTTAATGCAGGTTAAGATGATCGAATTCTTCGATCTACAATAAATTGTCAGTGAAGCACAATAAATATTTTAATATTTTTTCAAGTTTCCTGTATTCTCTATTGATTACTGCTGTGAAATAGAAATTATTGTCTAAATAATTTTTCAATAATAATAATTTTCGTATGCGGTGTGAGAAGCCTCTAGAAACACTAATTGTAAGTAAAATATTAGAAAATAGATTATAATTACAAAACTTAATTAAATTTTTATAACTACAAAAGAGCTACCGAAAATTTGTTATAAGAGAAAGGCTTCGTTTATTAAAACTAGAATAAATAAGATAAAGTTTAGAAAAACTTCTAAAATCTACATTTTTCTTTATATAAAATATTAGGACAATTTATATAAAACCTTTCTATATAATATTTATTATATATATACATATATATATATATATATTTCTATTTATCATTTGCGTATCAATAACATACAAGGTCTAATATTATTACCTAAACAAAAGAGAACTTTGTCATTACCCATTTTAGGTCCACA